GCAGGAAGTCTCTAGGGGGCATTTCAGGTCGATTTTAGACTAAGGACTAAAATGAGTATGTACAAGTGCCGATATATATAATGGAGGGGGCGAAAGCGCAAGGAAACAAAGGGGATCCGAATCGGAACGAAGGTGTCTGAACGGGAACAAAGGGATGACAGAAGCGGAGCGGTACCGAAGGTCATAGGGCAGAACCTGTGATATGTCCAAAAGGAGGTAAGGAGGGTGAGGCCCAGAGGGGCAGGAGGATGAGGAGAAGTGGGGGTGATGACTAACTGGCTAGAATGGGAAGAAGCAGCAGTCCAAATAGGGATGAGGGGAAAACATGAGAGATACATTACAAGTGGCGAAAGTGCCGAAGGCGATCCGTGGAGCTCGGAGGTTATGGAGGTGGGGTTGAAAGTCCGAGGAATATTGGCAATGGTGTTTACGTAGTATGAGGTCACCAATGCAATGGACTAAGACCGAGGTGGAGTCAAAGTCTGAGGTAGGAACTATGATGGAGGCTCGGAGCAAAGGTACGAGCGGTGCCCGAGTACGAAGTATGGGACAGCGGTGGAAGGTTGTAACTTGGCAGGAGGTTGGCAGAAGAGGACCAGAGGGAAGAGAGAGGAGAGAGGGAAGAGGGAAGGAGTGGCGGAAGGGAGAGTTGTCAGGTCCGAAGGTGAGTATCGGAGCGGATGGGAGAGGAGTAGGAGGATGACAGAAGGGTGGAGGTGTGGTGAGGAGGGAGCGGAGGAGTAGGAGTAGTAGGAGGGTGGTGGGAGGGGTGGTGTTCGGTCCGAGGTGGGTATCGGAGCAGACAGAGATAGGAGAGGAGAGGGACGGAGGAGTGGAGGTGGCATGGGAGGTGAGAGGAGGTGTGGTGCCAGGACCGAAGGTGAATATCGGAACGGACAGCGGTAGGGTAGGACTCCGGAGGTCCGGGAGTCGGGTTGGGATCGGGTATGCACGGATATGACATTCCCCTCACTTTCCTATTCAATTTTCAGACTTTCACATCAATTCAGTTCTCATTATTTCTCAGGTCTCCGAAAGTATTTTCCATTTTTCTCCATCATTTCTTCCTTGATTTCACAAATAATTATATGTCCTGAAAGCACTTTCAAGGCACTATAGTTCCTGAATTTTTTTTTGAAATTTTCCCAAAATTTTTTTTTTTTAAACTTTTTAGAGACCAAAATTTTCCTCCCACTGCTCCTGGCACATTGCATACTCCTCACCACCCAGCTGCTCCTGAACCCCCTCCCAGGAGAACACTATTGGCTCCAGGAGTGCCCAATCTGCTGTTTTGTCTCCCACATGCTCCAGCCACTCTTGATGCTCCAGAGCATAATGTCATATCCGTGCATACCCGATCCTGACCCGACTCCCGGACCTCCATCTTCACCACCTCCAGAGTCCTACCCTACCACTGTCCGTTCCGATATTCACCTTCGGTCCTGACACCACACCTGACACCACACCTCCTCTCACCCCTCATGCCACCCCCACTCCTCCATCCTTCTGCCCTATCTCCATCCGCTCTGATACTCACCTCGGACCGAACACCACTCCTCTCGCCACCCTCCTCCTACTCCTCCTCCCACTCCTCCTCTTCCTCCTCATAACACCTCCACCCTTCCATCACTCTCCTGCCCGTCTCCCATCCGCTCCGATACTCACCTTCGGACCTGACACCTTTCCTCTCCTCCACTCCTCTCCCCTTTCCTCTCTCCTCTTTCTTCCCCCTGGCCCCCCTCCGCCAACCTTCCGCCAAGTTACAACCTTCCACCGCTGTCCCGTACCTCATACTCGGACACCGCTCGTACCTTCACTCCAAGACTCCGTCATAGTTCCTACCTCAGACTTTGACTCCACCTCGGCTTTAGTCCATTGCATTGGTGACCTCATACTACGTAAACACCATTGCCAATATTCCTTGGACTTTCAACCCCACCTCTGTAACCTCTGTAAGCTCCGTAACCCCCAAGCTCCACGGATCACCTTCGGCACTTTCGCTGCTTGTAATGTATCTTTCGCGTTTCCCCCTCATCCTTATTTGGACCGCTGCTTCTTCCCATTCTAGCCAGTTAGTCATCATCCCCACTTCCCCTCGTCCTCCTGCCCCTCTGGGCTTCACCCTCCTTACCTCCTTTTGGATGTACCACAGGTTCTGCCCTATGACCTTCGGTACCGCTCCACTTCTGTCATCCCTTTGTTCCCATTCGGACATCTTCATTCTGATTTGGACCTGTCAGGGCACACCCGCCTGACCTGCCTCCACCCGGGCCCACCTCACCCGGTTCCCCTTCTCCCACCCTGCACCCCTCCTTCATACCCCTTCCCCCTCTATCCCTCTCCCACTTCCCCTTCTATTTCCATTTCTATTTGTATTTCTACTTCACACGGACGACCTTTCCCTTATATCCATGTATTATTGACCCGCCCGCGACGCACACACGACGTGCCTAGCCCCGGACGACCCCGGACAGCTCTAGGGTGCAACCTAGTGTGCGCGCGTGCAGCATACACCCTCGGGATCCCCCACGGGGACACCCGGGTGACTGCGGCTGTATGCGGGGTGACATGGCGGACCTCATGTGACCCAAGCCGCATGTATATAAACACACCTGGGGTGGGAACCGAAGAAGTAACCTTCTTCTCAACATTCCCACTTCAGGTAAGTAGCATAGTTCTCCTTTTAATAATAACTCAACATTCCCACTTCAGTGGCCAGGGATCGCCGTCCCGCATCGGGGCTGCCAGTACGCACGCCTGATCCATCCCCCGTGAGGTCCTCAGCACCGGACGCTACGCCCGGACCGCCTCGACCGCGGACGCGACCCTGACAGGACCCCCTTTGTTTCCTTGTGCTTTCGCCCTCTCCATTATATATATCAGTGCTTGTACATACTTGTTTTAGGCCTTTAGTCTAAAATCGACCTGAAATGCCCCCTAGAGACTTCCTGCTCGCCGCCTATGAAATTAAGGACCAAATGGACAAACAGCAATGGCACAGTGCTCCACTTGAGTCGCTGAGGCCAAGGTCCCTCCTTGCTAAGTCTCTGGTTCCCCTCCGGAATCGTCCGCCCTTGCCCAGTTCTAACACATAACAGACTTTTGCTGATGCATATGCAAAGTCCTAACAGACTCTGAGGAGATGAAAATTGCATTGCACTGGTGCCCAGGCCATCTTGGAATACTGGGGAACAAGAGAGCCAACCAGCTAGCAAAAGAAGGCACACAACTTAGACCAGCCTGACCCAACTTTAAATCACTCTCATACATAGAGAGCCTGTGCAGGAGAGAGATGGCTGAAACATGGACTCACCGATGGACGAACACACCGAACCCCCTGAGATCGGGCTTCTATGCAGCGAACCAACTTGTTGGAATACGAGTCACATGATGAAACTGAACCAGAATATCCGAGAATATTCTATGGGTCACTAGGTGCCTGCGTAAGCGCTGGGCATAGAAGAGCCTGGAATATTGTTGGGAAGTATAAATATGGGCGCTGGAGTGCCGTGTGTATTTTAGTTATATTTCTTTCTATATTACATCTGGGTTGCGAGTGAACCGCTGAAGCAGGTTACCATATTTGGAACGCCGGATTTACAACACAACTCGCACTGAAGCTTAGACCCACCAAATGGTTCAGAAAACTCGACAGAAAAACCTTCAGCCATGTGGTCCAGTTCCGAACAGGACATGCTCACATCGGCGAGTATTACCACCGATTCGGAATCACAACGGAGAATAGAGCATGTCAATGCGATAAATCAACACAAACGAGGGCCCACATTCTGATGGAGTGCCCCCGGACAAGTAGACACAGATACCTACTAGGACACGGAAACCAGACGAAATTCCACATCCTCATGGGCAAGATGAAAGGCATAGAAAGGCCAAGGGGGTGTCGGAAATGTGTAGATGAAAGGTATGCCAGTTACGTTTCTTCCTGAATTTCGGGCCGCTACCCCCCCCCCCCCCCACACACACACACACGTGACCTTCCAAATATGGAAGGCCAATCACTGTAATGTCCAAAAAAGGCAAGGGATATCACCGACGCCTTCTCTGTACCATCGAACATTGACAAAACATTGAGCCAACACCTCCAAAACACCTCTCTAATGCTTGCAGTGCTAGATCCCGGCTTTCAAGAATGCTCATTATGCAAGAAACAAGTTCATGTAGCCACGGGAGGGGATGCAAATCTTAAATTCCATATGAACAGCGCAGAATGTTTACAAAGACAGAAAAAAGCTGGAGAGCAGGAAAGAGTCGCAGCCCAGGCAAAAAACTTCAGTGCATGGTTCACAAAAGCCGCTGCACCACTGGACATGCCGTTGCCACTCCGCTGTGAGCCAACACCATCCCTTGAACCGTCAACCCACTCCAACATACCCAAGCCACCTATCCCTATTTCTCCTCAGTCCCCTGACAAGAACATGACACTTCCCACACTCAATGACACAGAAAAACTCAGCCCACTAGAGAGGGCCCGCACTCTTGCCACTCTCCTTCCTCCCTCTGTTCCGGCTGCTTGTGAAGGTGATGCAATCTGGGCGTTAGGGGCACCAGACCCATCCTCCTGGGCAGGAGCAAACTGCAGCGAGGATACATTAGAGGATTGGGAACACATTAATCCGGTGCTACATACCATCTTTGGATGGGATGACCCAGTTCAGATGATCATCAGTAAAGTACGACGGGGAGCTCACGGAGTTGAAGGGCTAGTTGGCTTTTTAGAATGGTTTGTCTGCAAGCGGGGCTTGAATCCCACCTTATTTGACACCAAACTTGAGAAGTTATCAGAAGCAATGCTACGATTGTAGGCATTTTGTTTTAACTCACCGTATCCCATTCTCAAATGCATGCTGAGCAGAATTCCTCTGGATATGGCACCATCCTCACCCCAAAACGAAAGTCCCATCTTGGTTAGTGACGATGAAGACAACATCAAGATCATACCGAACTTGCGTGTTATGGACAGCAGTGCTGAAAGGCTTTGCATGGCACAGAAGTTAGATATTCCCGCAAACCAGTCACCTTACTATGTCTATCCCTTTGGCCTGCATGCTGCTCATCGTGTCCACTGGGATCTCGAGATTCGGAATGACACTTTATACCTTCGCTCTCGGAAGTGCCACAGGGCCGCACCTGGCAATCATTCAACTTGCCATGAATGCCGCATGTTAGCAGATTCCAAGCTAGCAAAGGGAATTAGGAAGCGTATTGAAAATGGGACACCACAAACTGCAAACCATCATCTTTGGTCATGGGGTACCCTCCGTCAGGCCTTGGTGAAGGCACAGAAGCAATTGGCAATGCGTCAGCTTCTGGCATTCAATGCCAATGTGCAGTTAGGACGAAAGACACGGGCAATTGATGAGCATAAACGCTTGCTCATGATCGTGTCATCTGGGGATGTCAAGCGGGCCGATGCTGTGATGCGAGTAGCATTGAAGAGGAGGATGGGTGTGCGCAGAATCGTGGAGCTCTTTATGAAAGCGGCAAAGAAGGTGTACGCAGCTAGGTCCTTCACTGAGCAAGAAATGGAACTGGGCTTACTGTTTCTTCGGCTGGGAGGCACCCGATTGGCAAGCATTGCACACAATGCCCTTGGCACCCCTGCTGTCACCACGCTTCGGCACAATCGACCAACAGAGCCACTCCGCGTCTCAACCGGACTCCCAACTGCCCATGAACTTCATCATAACCTCTCGGTCTCACAGGTTGCCGGGACCTTTGGGAGTGGGGATCACATCGAGCAGCATAATGACATTCTTGGGGCTTACATTCTCATGTTTGATGAGATCAAGATTGAAGAAGTTTCGCGGTATGATCCATCCACCAATAACATTGTTGGGGTATGCCGTGAGCATAGTAGTGGGTTTGCACTTGAGTACGTGAGTGCTGATGAAGCCGATCGCCTATTTGAAGGGGTCCGGGATGGAGCGGTACACCTGGCAGTGGAGGTGAGTAACAAAGATAGTCAAATGATCTCATATTTATTTCATTATAGGCTACCATTGGAGCCGTGGGCTCTTTGTCATCATCTGCAAGGATATATGGTTCCCGTCCGATTCTAATTTCGCCCACATGCAAGCGCGAGAACGCTAGCAGCCATGCCAAATTAATTGAAGTTGTTATCGAGGCATGCAGGAACGACTTGAAGGGTCCACTGTACAGTCTTGCATCTGATGGTGAATCGCGTCGAGGGGCCGCACTTGCCCAGATCACACTGAAGGAACCCCTCTCCGATACATCCCCCATCTATCCCTTACTTTCCCCCCTTCCATTATTCAACCATCTTGTTGGTAAACATGACATAACCTGTGATAAGGACTATAAGCATCTCTTCAAGAGATTACGCACACTCACCCTGCGCCCAGCGGGTTTCAATGTTTTTGACACAATCATCACTCCGCAAATCCTCGAGAAACACCTTCGTCAAAATGGGTTGTCATTCACAACAATCCGGGCTTTGCTGAACCCAGCCGATAAACAAGATGTACCGAAGGCTATTGAGTTACTGAAGGCCATCTGGGAGCTTCCCTTAATTACCGATGACAAGGATCCAATCAGGGCAGCCCAGTGTTGTGCTCTCTACCTTTTTGGTCGCGTTTGTTTCTTGTTTGTGCGACCCTATATCGACATAACACTTAGTCTTCGGCAGCAACTTGAACATCTCAGTGCTGCCGCACATTTGCTCCTAGTCCTCTTCAGGGCAAATCCAAATAAGGGACGATTTATGCCAACACAACTCTATGTTGACATCCAGATTGCCGTCAAGAATGTTTTCTTTTGCATAGCGAAAGAAAAAACTTACAATCAAGATGGGAAATTCTATATCATTCTCCTTGGAACAGATCGCCTCGAGATCGCATTTGGTATTTTACGCACAATGGTTGGGAATGATGCAAATGCTGATACACTTCAGCTATCAACCCGATTGTCGCATGTAACTGAAATCCAAAACATACTTGCTCACCATCCGGAATGGGACCGGAGTCCACGGCGTCTGAGGCTACCATCCCTTCAAGAACTGGAAAAGGAATCGCAGCGTATTGACCATATCACACCAGCACTCTGGAAGGGGGACGTGAGCATCAAATATGTACTCCCCCTGACATGTTGGATGAATGGGCGTTCACTTGCTATGACTGTTGACAGTAAAATTGCTGGACAAATCAACAACATTGCCACTCACGGAGGGATTGATATGCTCTCACCATTTGGACACCTAATCGTGAAACTCGATATAAATCCATCTGCTGCAAGCAATGATGATCTTGAAAGGGAGGATGAGGATGATGTCGGAGATGCTACGGTCATCTCGTCTTCAGGGTCAAGCACAGGCGCTCTGGACGTTGTGACCGGTGTGAACGGGGGGCCGGAAGACACAGCCAATCCTATAGGAGACGGACCCGATGCTGGGCTTGACTTGGAGGACATTCTGGGGGACATTACCGATGACCATACACGTATTTCATCCTACCTCTCAATCTGTGACGAAAAAACTGGAGAAGAGAAGACAATCCATAAAGCACGGGCATTGAAAGCCCTGTTCCAGAGTATTGTCCATCAAAAAGGATCCCTAGATCGACAGAAGCGAATCGCTGGGCTCACCCGATTTTCAGTTACACCTACCAGCGCAACAAGCGACGCTGATGCTGATGACGGCAGCTTCGGTGACACACTTTGCATTGGGGATCCGGCAGTGACCCTCATCATCGTTGAAAACACCCCATTCCTGGCTGTGGTTCAGATATCTGCATTGAAAATCGATGGGCAAGGAACTCAAGCCATACCTTTGACAATGCTCTCTGAACGCGTTGTTGAGGTCAGTTTCCACATTCTCACGCTGAAAAGCAAGACGACCTATGAGGGCAACGAGGACTGGCTATGGAAAGACTGGAAACTAGAAATGGAGAGCAGTAAGACGAAGGGAGCATACCTTCATCCCATTAATCCGACTATCCAGCAAGATGATGTGGCTGGTCGTGCGACGTTTATCTTCACAAAAACAGAACTTCAGGGGCTAGCGGCATCACTGTTGAGCATCTGTGGACTCCAAGGAATGTCTGACCTACCAAAGGCGAAGGTATCTCCTACATTTCCTTACAGGAATCCTGTTGGTGAGCCTGAGACGATTCAGTCAGGGGTTGCGGATGCTAATATCAGCTGAAGACGACAGTGCCTGTTTTGCTGGGGAATTCCCAGGCAATGATCGACCAATATCTGACGTCCATGGCAACCTCTGTCCTCTATGCAACGTCTCCTTGGACCTCAATAAGTCATCTGGCCTATTGGCGCACATGGGCGCACACATTCTTTATGATGGCCGATTGGCACGCTCAGATCAACCATGTGGATTTTGTCTTCGTCCCTCTGGCCAATGTACCTTTAAACTCATAATCAAGGCTCGCCAACCTTATCGAATCGATCTACATGCATCTCAGTGTAACCACTTACCAACCTCGTCGTTCAGATATGCACCCGCATCCAAATCTACTTCGCACTCGCCATGCTCAAATGTGCCAGTGGAATGTCCATTATGCAAGGCGGTTGTGTGGAAATACAATATGGATGAGCACTTGATGTTATCCCATCCTTCTAACTCAGCCCGCTACTCACTGGACTATGCAATTTCCACAGAGGAAATGTCAAGAATGAGAGCGAGATGGGAGAAGATATCCCCATCCCTACAGAGGTCGTCAAGTAGACGGACGATCGGCTCAAGCAGCCAGCCCACCACACTCGCCATATCAGAGGCTCATAGCTCTCGGATAGTCCTTGAGTGAGTAACCGATCCCGTTAACTCTCGAAACTATGATAGCGCTTATCAGGCTTCACAGAACCACAACACCCGAAGATATGGACCACGCACCTGTGGACCTCCAGGCCGACGTAGGGAGCCCTGACTTGGAGGATAGGGAATCGGGTGATCAGCCAATCTCTGATCCAGAGGATGTACCCAGCGCCTGTCCAGCGTCCCCTGCAAACTACGATTTCGGGCGTGAGTCCTTCCAACTCTTTCCTTCAACATCGCGTACTAACTTATCTCAAAGCCCATTTTGGTACGAAGCAAAGGACTAGATCTGGCCGCCAGCGACGAGTTGTTGGAGAAGAGGATATCTTTGGTGGATGCTGCTGTGGTGAATCGCCATCCGAGAATGAGATAGCAGCAGGGCAAACGGTTAAGTGTGCTCATATTGGGTGCGAGTATGGCTGGGTACGTTATTATTTACATGATACACAAGATTACTCTCTTACTTGGAATACTTGATAGTTTCATTTAGAGTGTGTTGACCTGCGTCGGGCAGAGGAAAACTGGAAATGTCCTGACCACCAGCCCAAGAAGCGGCGTCGCGCCCAAAAGTAGTGTAATCGAAGTGTAATTCCACGTTTGCTGTGTCCTTCTTGCCTGAATTAACTAGTAGAATGGCATTTTTACACGTTATACTGCAGTTGCGTAAGTACATGAAGTTACATCTTCACGCCGTCATGAACCCCCCCCCCCCCCGGCATACCTTTCAACCGGGAAATGCCGACACCCCCTTGAGAAAGGCTTGCCAATTTCATCAAAAAGTCCAAGACAGGCGACAAACCGATGACAACAAACACACCGCGAGGACCGCCATCGCCCGACCGGCTCACGGGATAGACGAAGCAGAACAGAATTTGCAGGGGACAGACGGAACCTTTTCATTTTTTCCATTTCTTATTTTTATTTTTTATCACGGTGTTAGGACGGGATAACCGCACTGCCACGTCATCACGAGGCCGCGGGGTATTAAGATAGATTTATCATCATCATCATCGGTTCCGGCGGTATGTGTACCTCATCAACGGCATTGATCTTGTAACAGCCCCAAGCCCGAGGCCTCTACGTGATTGCAGAGGTCTTTAGACTGTTGGATATTCTTGAGTCCGTTCCACCCATCAGCGTCCTAAAACCCTCCATGAATTACAATACTGCCAGCTTCTTCGGTATTATCACAATACAGACCCATACATATTTCTCTACCTTCCCAAAGGACTCCCTATATAAAGCTTGTAGTAAGTGTATCACGTCTTACTGGTGATATAAACGCCTGAAATGGGAAATGTCCGAACAGGTCTCCTTTTTGTGGTGAGTATGAAGCCCAGATCATCGTACGACTGTGGGTTCAAACTGCTGCCTAGGGTCGTCCAAGCTCTCCTGTTGTGAGTCCCCCCGATTAAAACGTGAATTCGCCTCCCAGAAGATGAAGTGGATGCACGGCCCAAGCTCTTTATTGGTACTTTGTGATTGCTTCAACTGAGAAGAACGTCATTCCGTCTCTCACCTGGGAAATGGCAATACATCAGACTACAGCGGTGCGTTCGACATCCACTCGCGGAGCTTAGGTGAGGGTTGAGAGAAATTCGGTTGTTTTCAGGTTGTTTCCTCGACAACTGTTCAATCGTTTTTCGCATACCGCGTGTATGCTTGTACGTATCATTCATCTCCCCAGTCTCGCGAATACTCATGACAGCCTCCCTGCCCCTGCAGTGAGTAAGAGTATTATATGGGGATGCCTGTTATGCTGTTATCTCTCGCGCAATTCGGTATGTATATAACGCAGAAATCTCACGCACTATGAATTGACGGTGGCATTGAATTCTTGTGTCCGATAGGTCTTGGGATAGGTGTGGTTTCTTTTACGTGCGGCTGATGGTGTTGCCAAACCGTTACCCATTAGCCGCTTCCTATCAGGGATACCATATTGCGAATTTCGTCACGGTTCCCCAGCAGAAGCGATCGTTGGCCGAATCATGGCTCCTTATGGAGGTTAGCACATGCACTGCTCTGCTCTGACGTGCCCGCGCTCAATATAAATGACTGATAGGCGATTTGTGATGTCACACTTGCTGTCTCGATGACCATCCTGTTACGTCGGCAGAGAACTGGTTTTAAGCAGTTAGTTTGACCTGGAGGGTGATGTCATGAGAGCTCACAGACTCATTCCACAGAACTGACAACATCTTGAACAAATTGATTGTTTATTCAATAAACACCGGAACAGTCACAAGTGTAATCGCTATTGTCATGTGTATCACCATACGTATCCTTACCTGAAGAACAATCCCTAGCACTGACGTTTCTTTCGGATAAAGTTCGCAATCCATGCTTCGGTTCTGGTACGTTAGCACCATTGGTCAGCAGACATTGGAACTCATTTCGCCGTTTAGACCTTCTCGTTTTGGGAATAGTGAGTGGCATTTCCCCACTGGCGTCGAAGGGGCCTTCTGACCTTGGACATAGCCACTCGGCGCTGTATACAATTTCACTATGCTCACCAAGTACGTGAAGAAGCCGTGCGCGTCTCGCACTCAAATGCTGACTTTTGCGCCTCAGCTTGCACTATGGAGCTCAGCTCCGTCAATATGTAGGTCCCGTTAACAAGGGCAACACTGGTACTGGACCGAACTGGCCGGGTGTCAAAGTCGACAAGACTGTGGAGCCACCATTGTTGACGCACGACTACGGCCAACACGAAATGCAATCGTGCCTAAAGAGAAAACCCATCCCACAGTGGATGGAGAAACAACTCGATACGGCTCATTCCTCCCAATATTCACCGTCACAGACACCAAAGGCATCAGCTAGATTGTAACTGAAAGCCCTTCCATGTCTAATTTAATTGTTTTGGTGCCCTTTTCCACCTAGCACAAGGATCCATTCACCACACCGCATTTATGCAGCATGTGCGGTTCGGCCGATTCCACACCTCCAGTTAGCGACTGATAGGGGTTGAATGGGACTCCGGAGATGGATTGGGCGCACGATGGCCATAGCGCAGACTGAGGCATCGGATAATAATAATAATGAACACAGCAGAAAGGCGTAAGTGCATTGGATACCACTTAGGGATGATCAAGATGAGATAGCAATGTCGGAAGGTGCGATACACAGGAGAGCAAAATATGCAACGACGTTACGCTGGGTCGGCAATGCATGAGTGGTTAGCTGTTTGACGTGAAAGTGGCGAGACTGGCAACAAAATCCGTCTACGAGTGTTTCAGCTGCGGGCGATGAGACTCCCAAGCAACCAGGCAATTCATCGCGCTTGATATGAGATAAAGCGGTAACTACACGCGCAATGGCTGTACACCCAAGGTTTAAAACTGGATATTCATATCATCTGATTGCGGTGGAGTAGCCCGAGACCTAGGGGTGACGGCATTGTTAACAATAGGGACGAGCCACTTACC